TAAAAGGATCGATTAATGGCTGTTTCTTACTAGAAAATCAAGACAATTCGCACCCACAAGCAAGGAACAGCCGGCGGTGAGGAGCAGAGCAGCAGTAGATCCGGATTTTTCCAGTAGGGGAGGGAAGATTTCTGGGTTCTAGGTGTGTTCTAGAGCAAGAAGGAAGGAGAAATCTCCAAGCTTTCTCACTAGTTTCTCAAAGGTTGGCTGGGTTCCCTTTCTTTGTTTTCCTCTCTGGTTGCAGCGAGAAGACAAGAGCAGAAACGGGCTGGAGAAGAAAGAGGAAAAGGGAGAAAAGAAATAAGCCATCCTTATCCAAATTCTCCTCTTTTAAGTCCCTCAAGTTTGGGAATGTTGGCTATTAGGCCCAAAACAATATTTTCTCACAATCAAGTCCCTAACTTACACTTAAATATTCCCGAAAATTTGGGATATTACACTCACCCCTCCTAAAAAGGAGTTTTGTCCCCAAAACTCAAATTGAGGACCATATCAAGTGGTGAATGGCTTCACACAATCCAAGGCAAATGCCCCACTAACTTTCTATGAACAGACATGGCTTACTATGCTTCCGCTGCGCCACTCTGATATCAAATCACAACTAATCTTAAAAGCAGAACACTAACTACTTAACAGGGTTTACCATGAAACAAGCTACTAGAGGCTGGGGTAATACGGAAAGCACAATGAATAAAAATAAATCCTGCCAAGGCCACAAAAGAAACAGTTGTGGGGTTACGCTTTGAACCCATCACAAGACGAGTCGGCAAAGAATGTCATGGATTTAATGATGAGCACAACAAAATTTTGAACTCTATCAAAGACGGATAAGCATCCAATGGATATATGGATCATGAATAAATGAACAAGTGCATGGATGCCTTATAAATTCTGCCACAACAAGGTTAACCAGAATCAAGATCATATTTAACAAGGCAACTGAAATCAAGAGACAGATTTTAGCAATTAACAAGAGTTAAAAGCTAGACCCATCAAATGACATGTAAGAATCTCAAGAATGGCAACAGAATAAAATCAATGGAAAATATGAATGCTGGGAAGAATATTGAAACACAAGAGTGCAAGGTAGAATGCCTCAAAAATTCAGCAACAAATGGCATTCACTAAGAATCAAGATCAAATTTAACCAAGCAATCAAAATTGAGAGACAAGAGTTAACCATGAAAGAAGCAATAGAATTCCAAAAATTAGGCCCACAAAAGAGATTCCAATAATGACAATCAAAACACGGATTCAAGAGCAAATACAATCAGGATGTCAGGATGTCAAGATCTAGCACCTCAAGTACTAGAATTAATTAACAGAACAAAGCAATGGCTGAGATCAAGATGCTTAGAAGATTCATGTCTTCCAATTAAAAGGGCAAACAAAAATCAAGGCAGCTAGACAAAGAACCATTTCTCTTGGAACAAAACTCTAGGGCATCAAGTACTTCAAAGATTACCCCTTCACCTCGTAGCTCATGGAGACTAAGCATATTTACAATCAAGTCATCCTAGACATCCTAGAGTCAAGTCAAAGCTAGGACATCAAGAATACAGAGACTAACACTTGCGAGAGACAGGAATTAGGATGCCTCACATAGGTATTTCCTAATAATCATCACCCCTCCTAAAGAGGTGTCCATATGAACAAAAACCAAGAATCAAGAAGATCAATAGGTATACCAAAACAAGAACTAGCAAAATATGCAAGATTTGAGCAAGAGCAGTACACCGAATTTGAACAAGAGCAGTATATAGAATTTGAACAAGAGCCAGTGTCAAAACAAGAATGGTTTTCAAGGACAATTCAAACTAGATTTCAAGGACAATTCAAACTAGATTTCAAGAACAGTGCAAGAATCAATTTCAGACAAGTATCCAGATAATGAGGATTTCAATAATCATTATCCATTTTTGGATTTTAGTTTCAAGAACAAGTACAAAGCAATCTCAAGAAAGATTCAAGACGGATTTCAAGAGTTTCAAGCAATTTCCAGATATCAAGAATGTAGAGATTGGCAACAATAGAGTTTAACTTTATGACAGTTTGCCAATCTTCACAAAACATAGCAATTTCAATTGAATGATCACTGCTCTTGATTAACCAATACAGAAAAATGAGCCACATGAAAGGACCATGAAGCTCCAAATGGAAAAAGTGAAATTTCACTATAACACTTTCAGAAGATAAGGAGCAACGGAATTACCAAGTTATCCAGCTCCTAAAGCGCAGCTAGAAAACACACAATATTTGCTGAAATAGCCTGGAATCTCTTACAAAGTCGAGAGTTTACCCATCCTCCACTGGTCATGTGACAAACAAAACAAATTCTCCACCAGCTATGCTGTAGAGACTAACAGGATCAATAACAAAAGTTCTCTACAACTCCCCAGATTCCAACATTGTGGCAAAAGAGCATACAAAAATTCTATTCATGTAACAAGTCTAAACAAGTGCAGACAATCAGAAAATGACCAAGTTCAAAACAAGGTCTTAAGAACATAACGGGCAAGATCACTTTCACAACTTCACACAGAGTATGAAAGCAAGAAACAAGAACAATCAGATCACCATCTCATCGAAATGGATGAGAAAATTCTGGCAACATGAATCAGAATCGTCCCTTATATAACCCCATCACTCGTCTCACCATGGGTCTAAAATCCACTAGCTAGCCAAGTCCAAAACAAATCCTAGGTATTCAATTAAACCTAGGCTCGAATATCACTCAATTTGCTCTAATGCCACTCAATCTGGAGGTGCTTAATTTAATCTTAAACTCTTAATTTCAACCTAGGCTTTTAATTTCAACCTAAGCTCTGATACCACTAAATCTCCAGATGTCTAATTTAACCTAAGCTCTGATACCACTTAATCTCCAAATATCTAATTTAACCTAAGCTCTGATACCACTAAATCTGTCACGCCCCAAAACCCAAATTCGAGGCGCGACAGACGCCATACACTTGTGAGACGAGTCCCACAAGTGCACAAGGCTCGGAACTTATCATATCACACTCTGATACCACCAAAATCTGAAGATCAAATTATAAAATCTG